TGACTATATCTTGGCATAGTTCTCCACTCAGAATTTCTTGGAAAACTCCTGTCTACCCCATAATGAGTATAGCCTCGTGTATAATGGGGGTTAGAAGGTTTTCTTCTGAAATTATTTCCTTTTTGAGGTCTGTCCAGCTTCCTATAGTTCTTAGGAGGGACTACCTTTTTGGGAACTTCTGTTGGTTTCTCCTTTTCCTTCCCTTTCTGCTTATTAGGTTTGGCAGTAGGTTTAGGAGGGATGAAAGTTGTCTTCCCTTTCCTTTTGGAACTAGAGGAGTCAAACCCAAGTCCTTTGCGACCCTTATGTTTGGTCGTTTCAAGCAGCTTGTTCACTGCTTCTTGGGACTTGAGTATCCCTAGCTCTTTGTTAAGGGATTTCACCTTTTCAGAGAGAGATTCATTTTCAGTCTTGAGTTGAGTGATCTCATTCAGTTGACTTTTCCGACTTTCAGTCAACTTGAGATTCTCTTCACTCAATAGTTTGTTCTCTTTTGTTAAGGATGTGTGTTTGAGATTTATCTCCTCAAAGTCTTTCATCATCTTTTTGAACTGGTCAAAAAGATTTTCAGAAGTTGGTGTGCTATAAGAAGATGAGCAGGAGGTTTGTGAGGTTACCTCTTGATCAGCATCATCTTTGGCCATTAGGTAGAGAGTGTCATCTTCTGACATAGTCCACCTATCCTCACGGTTGGACTTCTCAACTCTGCGCTCCATGCAGACGAGGGCTTCTTCATCCGAGCTTGAGCTGGATGACTCGTCACTTTCAGCAGCAACCATTGCTTTCTTTTTCTTCTCGATCCTTTCTCTTTCTCCGTACTTCTCCACCTTTGGGTACGGGCATGCCGACTTCCAGTGGCCAGGTTTCCTGCAATTATAGCATAAATAAGATTCAGGAGGGGAGTCACTTACCTGTGGCTTTCCCTTGGATGGCCTTCTGATTGAATCAGCCTTCTTGAAGAACTTCTTGAACTTCCGGAATTGTTTGACCATCATGGCAAATTCCTCTTCGTAGTTCTCCATTTTTGAGCTTGATGGCTGGCTGGAGGAAGGTGTGTCACAGTTTCTTGTGCATGTCCCTTCACTTGATGGAATTCTTGAAGTTGTCATCAATGCCGTGGGGAAGGGAGTGACTTGTTCTTTCTTCTTCTTTTTCAGCTCGTGCTCATAGGTTCTGAGTTCATCAAGGAGACCTTGAACAGTGTAGTTCTCCAGGTTTCTTCCTTCTTCCATGGCTGTGGCTTTGGTGTACCACTCAGTTGGGAGTGATCTCAGCAACCTTACATTCTTTTCTTTGGGAGAAAGAATGTAGTTAAGTGAGGCAAGATCATTTAATATTTTGTGGAATCTTTCATCCAACATATCAAATGATTCTCCGGGAAGCATTTTGAAGCTTTTGAACTTCTCAAGCAGGACTTCTATCTTCTGCTTTCTCAGGTCCTCTGATCCCTCACATAGCTTCCCAAGACCTTGCCAAATCTCCATGGCAGTCTTGAGATGCTTAATCTTGGAGAAGGTGATAGGATCAAGTGTCTTGAAGATGGCTGCTTTGGCGACGTTGTCCAGATTGTGCTTTTTGCAATCTCTATCATCCCATTTTTCTTTGGGCTTTGGAATGTACTGGACTACATCTGGAGCAGCTGGATTCCTCTCAGGGTTCTCCATTTGGATTTTCAAGGGTCCATCCTCAAACACCATCCACATGCAATCATGTAGAGCGTAGAGATGTGCTTCCATCATGATCTTCCAATCATCATAACCTAGAAGAGAAAACTTGGGCAAACCGTGATCCATATTGTTCACCATTATGATCGCTTCTCGTTAATCTAAAAGTAGATAGTGAGAAACCCGCTCCGATACCAATTGGTGGTCCCGAAGTGGTGAGTTACAAAGTCTAGAGGGGGGGGGGGGGTGAATAGACTTTGTTACAGATTTAAAATCTTTTTCGTTTCTTTTGAAAACGTGAAAATGAGGGTTAATCTAGAGTCCTTGTGAACTTTAGATTG